TGCACACCTGTAGTCCCAGCTAGTCCGGATTTTTAAAATAAAAGAATTAGCCAGGTGTGGCGGTGCACACCTGTAGTCCCAGCTAGTCCGGAAGCTGAGGTGGGAGGATCGCTTGAGCCCAGGAGGTCAAGGCTGCAGTGAGCCATGATTGTACCACTGGACTCCAGCCTGGGTGATAGAGGGAGACCCTGACTCAAAAAACAAACAAACAAACAAAAAAACGGAGGAGGAGGAGGAGAAGAAGAATGTGGGCTCTCCAATATTCTCTAATCATGTATCCTTGGGATAAATGCTTTTAAATGGGCAAGAATTTTATCAGATTTTGGTTAACTTTGGAAAGTGTTCCATGTGTACTTGGGAAGGATATGGATCCTAAAGTTGCGGGGCTCAGCACTCTACATATGCCCCTTAGTGGAAGAGAGTTACTGTGTTTAACGTATATTCCAAGCAGTGCGTGGTCTGCTTGCCCCGTCTGCTTTGGAGAGAGGTGAAATCTCCTACGGGAATTCTGGATTTCTCCTTGCAATTCTGTCCATTTATATTTCACACATTTTCAGACTATGTTGTTAGGGGTTCACAGATTTTATCTTCCTGGCTTTTTGTCACTAGTATTATTATTGAAAGATCTTCTTTAGACCCAGCGATGCACTTTGCCTTTTATGATATTCGTTTGTTATGAACATTGCCACCCCAGTAATCCTTTGAATTTTGCTGCTCTATTATTTCTTGGACCTGTGTCAGAGACATTGTGCTTTTCACTGTTCATGGCTTTATTTTGTTTACCCCCTCCCCCTTTTCCGATTTCTATTTGATTGATTTCATTTTTTTATTCTAATTCCCAGCTCACTTCTGTCTCTCTTTTATGGAAACATCCTATTTCTATATTTTTCTGATTACTTTTCCCTAAACTATTTTTTTTCTTTTTGAGACAGAGTCTCACTCTGTTGCCCAGGCTGGAGTGCAGTGGCACAATCTCGGCTCTCTGCAACCTCTGCCTGTTGGGTTCAAGCGATTCTCCTGCCTCAGCCTCCTGAGCAGCTGGGACTACAGGCGCCCATCACCATGCCCAGCTAACTTTTGTGTTTTTAGTAGAGATGGGGTTTCGCCATGTTGGCCAGGCTGGTCTTGAACTCCTGACCTCAGATGATCCACCTGCCTTGGCCTCCCAAAGTGCTGGGATTACAGGCATGAGCCGCCATGCCCAGCCCTTTTCTCTAAACTTCTCCAGACACATTTTTGTCCCAAACTGTGATGAAACAAAGTGGCAAATAACTTGATAAGTGATTAAGCATGTCATTTATTGACTGAGGGTTGGGAGACAGGCAACAGTAATCACTGAAGTCTTAGCTTCACATGACCATTTATCTCAATATTAAAATTATTAATAATGATTTCCCAACCACATATTTTGACAATAGTGGATAAATGAATAAAAACAGAATTGAATTTATATTAACTAAAATATGTTTGTATTCATATATTCACAGTAGTCAAGGTAAACGCATTTTTCTCCTGTTATAGAAATGAACAAACTTTATTTTTATCATTCAAAAGCAAAAAGTAATATAAATGTCAAGCAGACTGTCTCTAAGTTTTGTGTTGTGCTTATTAAATACTAATACATACGCATCCATATTAAAGTACCATAATTCACGTGACTTTTCCAGAAGACAAGCGGTTTGGTAGGTGGAGAGAAGGACGGTTTTGATTAAAACGAGAGCAAAAAGCAACTTCCCGGAAAGCAGGTGAAACAGGCATGCCTTTGAAAGCAGCCAGGCATTTTCAGACCCAAGGAAAGCAGCGAGGCTCCCTGTGCTGTCACCCAGCCTCCCGGCAGGCACCTCTCTGTTTCTTCCCCACATCAGTCAACATCCTTGAAACGTGCAAAAGATACATCCTCACAAAGGAAAACGTCTTCTGAACAGACCACCTCACACAAGGAAGCAAATCTAGGTTGTGCCTGACCCCTCCCCTAGCCCTGTCATTCTAACCAAAAGACATTCAAGGAGTCTAATAAACCAAGTGGCCCAGTGGTAGTTTCAAAACAATGTCCTAATTCACTTTCGGTGGAGTGCTAAGTGGTGCTGGTTAACAAAGGCCGTGCTTTTTAGAACCTAGTCAGGCACCTTCCAGCAGCTCGCTGCAACACCCACAACCTGGCGATCACTACAGTTTTATCCCGGCCTCGAGGATAAATATCTTTATTTATTCTTGTGTGCTGATGCTTATGGACCACTCTGAACATCCCGGGCCCCTGAGAATCGTGCTCAGTCTACTCGGCCTTGCTCTATAGACAGAACAAGAAAGCCTGGATGACAGCATGTCTGTTTACAGTACGTCTGTTTACAGCATGGTTTACTCGATATTTTAAGCCCACTGTTGAGACCCACTACTCAGAAAAAAAGATTCCTTTCAAAATATTACTGCTCACCAACAATACCTGTGGTCACCCAAGAGCTCTGACGAAGTGTACAAGCAGATAAATGTTGTTTCCATGTGTGGTAACACAACGTCCATTCTGCCGCCTAAGGCTCAAGAGTAATTTTGACTTTCAAGTCTTATTATTTAAGAAATACATTTTGTAAGACTATAGCTGCCATAGAGAGTGATTCCGCTGATGGATCTGGGCAGAGCACACTGTACCCCTCTGGAAAGGATTCACCATTCTGGATGCTACTATGAACATTTAAGATTCATGAGAGGAGGCCAAAATATCAACATGAAGGGGAGTTTAGAAGGGGTTGATTCCAACCCTCATGGATGACATTGAGGGGTTCAAGCCTCCCATAGAGGAAGGAACTGCAGATGTGGGAAAATAGCAAGAGAACTCGGATTAGAAGTGGAGGCTGAAGACATAACTGAACTGCTGCAATCTCAGGATAAAACTTGAACAGATGAAGAATTGCTTCTTATGAATGAGCCAAGAACATGGTTGATTAAGATGGAATCTGTTCGGAGGCCAGGGCGGGTGGATCACCTGAGGTCAGGAGTTTAACACCAGCTTGGCCAACATAGCGAAACCCGTCTCTACTAAAAACACGAAAATTAGCTGGGCGTGGTGGCATGCGCCTGTAATCCCAGCTGCTCAGGAGGCTGAGGCAGGAGAATCGCTTGAACCCGGGAGGTGGAGGTTGCAGTGAGCTGAGACTGCACCACTGTACTCCAGACTGGGTGACAGAGCAAGACTCCATCTCAAAAAAAAAAAAAAAAAAAAAGATGGAATCTGCTCCTAATGAAGATACTGTGAACACCGCTGAAATGACAACAAAGGATTTAGAGTATTCCATAAACTTAGTTGATAAACAGAAGGGTGTGAGTGGATCGACTCCAATTCCGAAAGAAGTTCTATGGTGGGTAAAATGCTGTCAAACAGTATTGCCTGCTGGAGTAATTGTTCATAAAAGGAAGAGTCAACGTGGAAAACGTCACTGTGGTCTCATTTTAAGAAGTTGCCACAGCCACCCCAACCACTACCGTGATCGGTCAGCAGCCATCAACAGTAGCATTTTTTAATCACTATTTTAAAATTAAGGTATGTATGCTGTTTTTAGACCTAATGCTATTGCACACTTAGACTATAGTGTAAACATAACTTGTATACACGCTGGGAAACCAAAACCTTTGTGTGTCTGGCGTTAGCATGGTATCTCCTTACTTTGCCGGTCTGGAACTGAGACCACAATCCCTTCCAGGTGGGCCGTCACAGTGACTTAGCTCTGAGGTGCTCACTACTATCCCTTCCAGGTGGGCCTGCACAGTGACTGCCGCAGTAACTTAGCTCTGAAGTGCTCACTACTATCCCTTCTGGATGGGCCTGCACAGTGACTGCCGCCAGTAACTTAGCCCTGAAAGTGCGTCACTACTATCCTTCTGGATGGCCATGCACAGTGAAGACATCGCCACAGTAACTTAGCTTCTGAATGCTCCACTACTATCCCTTCTGCGATTGCCTGCACAGTGATGCCGCTACTGTAAGTAGCTCTGAGGAAGTGCATTCATCTACTGTTACCCTTCGGATGCGGCACACTTGAGCGGGTGAGCTGACGCCCGCAGGAACCTTAGCTCTCTGACCGTCTGCTCACCTACTATCCCTTCCGGGTGGGCCTGCACCAGCTGACTGCCGCAGTTAACGTTGCTCGAAGTGCGCCTCTATTTCCGTACATATTCCTCTTTCTGGATGTGGCATGCACAGAGTGAAAAGAGACTGCGCCGCATGCGCTAACTTAGCTCCTCTGAAGTGCTCACTACGTTCATCCCTTCTTGGATGGCCCGTGCACAGTGACTGCCCAGTAACTTAGCCGTCTGGTTGAGGGTGGATTTTGGGGCCAATTTGCTTCCCATCTTTTCCTTTTTCCCAAAAAAAACCATGGTTTACCATTTAGGAACTTCTTTCTTCCAGACTGGGCCCGTGCCTCACTACTGTCCCTTTTCTGGATGGGACCTGTACAAGTGACTGCCCGCAGTAACTTAGCTTCTGAATGCTCACTACTATCCACTTACGCGTGTGGCGCTGCCACAAGTGACTACCCGCAGTAAATTAGCTCTGAGCGTGCTCACTACTGTTCCCTTACGGGTGGGCCTGCACAGTGACTACCGCAGTAACTTTAGCCTCTGAGGTGCTCACTACCTGTCCCTCCAGGTGGGCCTGCACAGTGACTGCCGCAGTAACTTAGCTCTGAGGTGCCGGCTGTGGAGAATGACTTGTTTCCTTCCTTCAAAGAGTGCAGTGCAAGTTTACTGGGGGTGGGGGACAAAGACGGCTCCACACTCCTGGGAGCCTGAGAAACCCTTGTTTCTGGGACATGCAGTCTTGTTTCTGGGACATGCAGCCTTGTTTCTGGGACATGCAGCCTTGTTTGACCCTTCATTTGGGATAACGGTGGAAGGAGCTAGAAGCCAGAGGAAAGGACTGAGCCAGTGCCCTGATGGGCCCAATCCCAGGGAAAGAGCAGGTTCCTCCAGGTTGCCCGCCGTCTCAGAGCTACAGGGGAGGTACTCACACAGGCTTCCTGCTGCAGGTGCTGCAGGGCCCTCTTGGCTGGGAGGAGGAAGCTGGTGAGGCAGTGCAGCCCATCCCCACCGTGGCACCTCTCAGCCACGCTGAACAGCTGCCAGAGCACTGTGGCTGCCGTGGCTTCAAACGGTGGGTACAAGGCAGAGAGCGTCCTCTGGATATAGGCATCAAGAGATTCCAGATCCTGAAACAAAAGAGAGAATTCACAAACTTCAGGGACAGAACTCAAGACAGGTGCACACGACGGTCCAAGGCTGGCATTGAAGGATCCACACTGAAGTCCCATGCCCTGTGTCTGGCATGATGTGAGTTAACTGAGAAAGACAAAAGGTGCACGGGAATCCATGGTGCAGGGCGAGCTCCTGGTGGTTGTCCCTGTGCTGTCCCACGGCAGAGGGGCAGGCGTATTAGGCAGACCCGTGGCCCTGTCCTGGGGCGGGGGCTCTATATACCACCTCTGTAAATATGGGCTGCCATTCCTATCACACTGAGGCACAACCAAGCCTAGATTTGCGGTAAGTTTCATCCCCTGCACCTGAACAGCATAGGGTCTCTGGGGTGGGCCTGTGAGTCCTGCGGGAGCTGCTCCTCCCGGCTCTCCTGGGTTTGTACAGGGAGGACAACCACCCATGGGGAGGACAGAGCTGGCCCACGCGCCACTTTGTTCTCAGAAAACAAGCTCATCCACAGCAAATACATTTTAATTGTGTTGATGACTTTGTTGCCATTTAAACAGTACTGATGGTGAAACTCTCAGGGTGCCTTCCTCAAGGTTGCTGAATTGTGCCCATTTGGCACCCTAAAAACAGTATCATTGGCCACTGATTTCCACTTGGCATTTTGGTGCAACATGCTTTTATGAAGAGACAATGATTCTTGTTTAAAAATTTGTGATGCTGTTTTTGGAGGTAACAGTCCCTGAGGAAATGCCACAAGGCTCACGTGTGTGGAAAAGATCTGCCAGGCAGTGAAAGCCAAAGAAGTTAAAAATTGTGAAATCAGTTTTTAATGGCACAACAGTTACATCAGAGATGCCGCTGAATAGCTAATCACACAGATAATGTCCTAAGGAAACTGAAAATAAAACAGGGACTCCTCTGGCCCGCAGTGGGAGAAGGGTCTATCTTGTCGGCCGAGCCTGCGACTGGAGGAACCTGCAGCAAGCTCAGCTTCTGGAAACTGCGTGGGTCGGGGAAGGTCAGGGCTGGGGTCCTGAGTCCTGCATCCCACCAGCAGAGGCCCCTGCCGGCCCCGTCACCCCCCGGGTCAGCTCCCTTCCCCGCGCACACTGGTTCGTTCCCACCGACCCGACAGGGCCACTTACTTGTTGACAGGAATGATCTAAATACAGTCTGAGTTTGTGCAGAAATGCTGATGTGATCTAATTTCCAAAAACTCAGATCACACCTGAGCCACACAGCAAACACACAGTCCATGAGAATGAGTGGGCCTGTCTCAGGCCGGGGACAGAATCACCCACCGGGCACTGGGACGGCTGTGCTTCGGGATGTGGGGCAAATGCTCAACTGACACATGAGAGATGGGCAGGAAGGAAGAGGAACATGATCTAGGACAGGTGTCTTGAATGGCCTGTTCCGCAGGAGCTGAAATGCCAACCCTGGGCCGTCCCCAGGAGAGGCGTCCTCCTACTTCTCGGCTCCCCAAATCCAGGCCCATTCCTTCCCCACCCTCAAGTCCAGATGTGGTCAGTAGCCCAGAGTTCCATCCAGGGCCACCGTCGGAACTGCCCGACGTGAGGAAGGAGACGGCCGGTGCACTTCGCTGCCAAGCCCTGGCCCTGCCTCTGCCTGATTCCACGGTGACTGGGGCAGGCCCCATGCTCCACTCAGCGGGTCCCACCTGCACCCCCTCCTCAGAACGGCTCCCACTGGGGCCACTCAGGGCCTGGGCCAGGCCAGAGCTGCCCCAGGGAAGCTGCCTGCAGACCGAGAGTCGGGTAGGTTGAGGCGCTGAGTAAACCAAGTGAGCCACGAACCAGGTCTATTTATAGCAGCCTTCGACTGCTCATGAGTCCTGTGTCCCTCGAGGGCAGGGTGTGCACTGTCTCCTGGCCTGGTGTGTGCAGCACCCTGATTCTGGGGACTGCCTTTGGGAGCGCCGCCAGCAGATGGCTGCTCGTGATGAGGGAGCTGCAGTGTGTGTGCAGGACTCTGAAGGAGTGTGAGCCTGGCCAGGCGCGGTGTGTGTGGACAGAGGAACTCCTGCCAGCTGTGTCCAGGCCTCGGGGCCAGGAGAGGGAGCAGACAGGGCAGGGGACCTGCAAGCACACGCCCACTAGCTCAGCTCAGCCCAATTTCTTGTCTTTGTAGAACTCAGGATTCTTGTTTCTGCCAAATGTACAAACGTGTGCTGACTTCAAACCCGAGGGCCTTCCAGTTTACAAGATCATGAGCCTCACTGAGGCACAGACGGTGCGGATGTGTGCACGTGTGTTGCAGATTGTGCGGATGTGTGCGTGTGTGTTGCAGAGCGGCCGGTGTGTGCGTGTGTGTTGCAGAGCGGCCGGTGTGTGCGTGTGTGTTGCAGAGCGGCCGGTGTGTGCGTGTGTGTTGCAGAGCGGCCGGTGTGTGCGTGTGTGTTGCAGAGCGGCTGGTGTGTGCGTGTGTGTTGCAGAGCGGCCGGTGTGTGCATGTGTGTTGCAGAGCAGCTGGTGCAGTTCCAGTGCCCGCCAGTCCCTTGGCACTTTGCTGAGCTTTGCCCTGAATTCTATGTAATCACTTGGCCAATGGGGCGGTGGTGGTGGAGCAGGAATGGAAGAGGGTGTCTGAAAACCCATCTTAAAGCTTCACTCTTCAATGAAGGATTTATTTTTCCAATGAAGTTTAAAATTTTATTGAAACGAGGGTGATATTTTAAAGTCGAGATGCTTGTTTCTCACCCTATCCACATTCCCTGGTTCACAGCTCCACGCCCAAAGTGGACACAGCCCGGCCCAGCCCCAGCTTCTGTGTCACCCGTGGTTTAGCGTGTGCCTCTGGCACCAACACACAGTGATGCTCACGATGCTGCAGCCCAGGGTGTGGTACCTGGAGGGGCATGGCAGGTACTTCTAATTCACTGCTGTGGCCTTTGCCTCTGGCCGGAGATTTTTTTTTCTGGAGACAAAGTCTCGCTCTGTCGCCCGGGCTGGAGTGCAGTGGTGTGATCTCGGTTCACTGCAACCTCCGCCTCCCGGGTTCAAGTGATTCTCCTGCTTCAGCCTTTCGAGTAGCTGGGACTACAGGTGTGTACCTCCACGAACCGTGCCCGGCTGATTTTGGTATTTTCGGTAGAGATGGGGTTTCACCATGTTGTCCAGGCTGGTCTCAAACTCCTGACCTCCTGATCTGCCTGCAAAAAGCAGGACATCCATGGGCAGCAGACATCCGTGGCTCCTTCAAGCAGGGCCCCGGGGACAGTGGGGGCACCCACACTGCCCCTGCTCTGCCCCAGTTCCCATCAATGGCCACTTTCTCAGCACAGCAGGGTGGTGAGTGAGAAGGCCAGGTGTGAAACCCACACCCCCCAGGAGGCTCGCTCTGGGCTGCTACCTGGTCACAGCCGCTCAGGCCCATCAGGACCCAGTGATGGCTCCTGGCATCTGGCCCAGGTACCCGTGCCCATCTCTGGTTTCCTGTCTGTGCAGACTCAGAAATCATCATTGAATCAAAACCTGTCTAGGAAGCCTCGTCCCAAACAGGCTGGGTGTGCAGGTCGGTCTGTCTGCATCCAGCCGTCTGCACCCGGTCTGTATACACCATCCCCACTGGGGATGCTGAAAATGCTTCTAAGACTAAAGGTTCCGTTGGCCCAAAGTTGGTACAAGAGGGTGCTAGGAAGGATACGAAGGATGGCAAGGGGGAAGGAACGGAGCACACCTTGCCTCCCTGGGTTTCTGTTCTACATTCTTTGAAGGGTTCAGCAATCACCAAAAGCTACGTCATCCCTGGTTCCTAACGTACTGACTTTATCACCTGAGTAGATTTAGGAAGATCCCCAGGTCCTGGTGAAAAGCTTCACCCAGCAAATGTCTTACTCCCCTGAAACGGTTTTCCGATTCCCATATCCAACCCAATCCACGCGGGAAGCCCACTGGAGACGCAGGCCCTGGCGGCAGGGGATGGCCGAGTGCTCCAGAGTCTGGGGTCAAGCTGGGAGCCTCTGTTTCGAGGCCTCTTCTCCTAATTCCCTGAGCCTACATGGTTACTGTTCCGGAAAGGTGCTGCTCCACTCCACCACACTCCAATTCCTATCTCCCCAAAGCCCAGGTATACACACCTGGCACACCTGAACCCAGGCTGGTGCCCCAGCCCCACCCGGATCACTGGATTGGGAGCTACTGTGCCAGGTGGTGATGCAAGCTGCCCTCTGATGAGCTCCACCGAGGTCCATCCAGAGCTCCTGGCCACACCAGGGCAAGTGCAGGGCAAGCCTTGGCTCAGTTCCCCTCCTCACTGACACACGCCCACCAAGCCCCTGCCCAGGGCAACCCTGCCCTCCAGGGACTCAGAGTCCAGGGTGAGGCCAGACCCAGGGCAGGGATGGGCAGGTGGGATCCCAGGGTGAGTCCTCAGCAGCGCCCAGCGTCCAGGCCAGTTTCCCAGAAGAACGGGCATCTGAGCAGGGCCCAAGGGTGAGAAGGTCTCGCTGTGTGAGGAGATGGGGAAGGGAGCACCCAAGACTCTCCCAGGTGAACCTTCAGGCTTGGCAGCCCCTCCTTCCTCCTGGGAAGGCCAGGGCTGTCCAGGCTCGCTGGAGGCCTCAGGGGCAACGTTGTGGAACTTACAATGGCAGGACAGGGTGGAGCCAGGGCCTGGGTGCCCAGGATGGGGCCCAGAGCACAGGACAGCAGTGGACCCCAGAGGGGCCAAGCATGGGGTCTCTGGGGCCAGGGTCCCTGACAGCAAACATCAAGTAGGCCCTGTCCAGTGAGCCCCAGGGGCTGTGCCTGACGGCTACATGGGCCGCCTCAGCAGGACTGGCACCCTCCTCCAGCGGGCAGAGATGGGCAGGACCTGGAGCTAACCCTAAAGCCCCAGAGAGGTGGGTCTGCATCAGCACGTCCCAGCGGGCGGCCCCTGAAACTGCACATTCCAGCCTCTTCCCACGTCTGCACTGAGCAGACCGTGGCGGGAAGAAAATCGGGTAAGAACTGCACCCTGCACGAGTCTCCACATGTGGGCA